CGGAAATCCAGTCACAAAAAAGCACAGTCCACAGCCGGCCGGCACATCCCCTTGAAACCAAACCAGCTGTTAAAATAAAGTGTTTAGCACTGTGAACATCAGTTCGGTCAGAGACTGCGAAGTCTATGGATCTCGCTCAGAAGATAGCTCCCCCTTCCAAAGTAACCTACGAAGAACTGAGCCTCTCTTATACCGGCTACAACAAGGAAGAACGGTTCGGTCATGATGATCAGAAAAGGTGTTCCCTTGCTTATCCCTTTTGAGCGATGCGATCAGCTCTGCGCAAGAGGGACTTCGCGCAGGTGTGGTCTCGCCGGTATGGTCAGAATGGTTGTGGTCTCGCCTCCTCCACGACGATAGCTATTTCATATCCCATCTCGTAATATATTTATCCAATATTTTGTAGTTCATCGGGTAGTCAGCCTCCGATCAAGAATCAGAAGTAGTGGTTTTGCAGCACAACTAGGAAGTGGAGGAAAAGAACGTTTGAGACGGGAAAGATCAACACTCGTGAAGTTCTGTGTGTTAATTAGTGAACGCATGCTCACCTTCGGTTTTCTAGGCTCTGACAAAGGCGACGCAGCAGAAACGTAAGCTAAAGAAATCGTTGTAACCTTGTTTTTGGGTATGCTGGTGCATACGACATATCTCACACGATGCTAACCCGTTGATGAAATCATTTTCGCGCCGCATATATGGCTTACCTAATCGTTTTTGTAGAGTTCCCCCTTGTTTTTTTTAATAATCCGATCATAATGACAAATATCTCCCAAAGATAAAAGAGGAAAACCTATTTTTTGTTATATTGAAATTGAAAAAAGCAAGGGGAGACAAAAGGAAGAGAAATGGTTAGAAAGAGTAATTTCCAAAAAACATAGTGTCCGCTCGTCAGTAAGTTAGTATACCGGTGCAACTTCTGACATTAGAAAATCTAAAGCGAAGCAAGTTCACAAATTCCGAAGCGTGAATCTTGTGTTCTACAAGGTGTCCTCCCTTGAGCATACACAGAGATTTGTGAAAACTTGTTTTTTGTATTGAAAGCCATTCGAACTAGTGAAGTTTTGACAGTTCCTGGTTAGATTCAACTTCTTCTGGCACTTCTGTTAACAGAGGATCGCCTCAGTTTGGTGATATAATTTGAGGATAGGAAAGAATCGCTGTGTCCCACGCGGCGAAAACCGCCCTGAGGCCAACGTGTTAAATCTGTGGACAGGGGACAGCATCGTGATGTGTGGAATGGTGTTGTCAGTACGACGCCCCTCCCCCTTTGCCCAGCACCTAATTTCCAACTTCCCACGTTTTCTTGTCACCTAAAATTTTTCTGTTGAGCGGTATGGGGGAAGTATAGAGTACACATGAAACAGGAAAAATCACTAAATTCGACAACCCAACAGGGAAAAATCTCACCCCGACTCGGTGAATTCATCTCAAAGCCATATAGGACCCCCTCTCCCAACAACAACCAAATACCACCCCCCCCCCCTGTTTCACACAACGATCTTGCCCTGGTGGTAGGCTAGCTGAGAGACTGGACTGCTTTAGAGGTTGAGAAATTACACTCACACTAAAGTATTGTATTTAGTTGAATTTTGCACACCTGTCGAAGCAACTCGGCATCATATTCTAGCTCTTCAGCGGTCATCCATCGTTTTCCATCTAAGTCTGTGCCACTGTGATTGTCTTTCGGATAAGTCTCGTGCATCGCGTGCTCTAGTTCCTGAAAACAGGGTCATGTTCCTCTTAGCAGGTTCCTGAGCTGTGGATAATGAAATGCAACTCTAAGTAGTGGATCCTCATTTGATTGAGGTAATCTTTCATTTTTGCAAATAGTGTATATCATTCCCCGTAACTCATTCACGCTCTTGTGCATTTATCTTTTAAGTATTAAGTTGCTAAGAAAGTCTTGTCAGCCCTTTCCGAGGAGCTTACAGTTTCTGATTCCTGATGCTTGAACATGGCGTCAAGCGTTATACTTGTCGGAGCCCTGGGTTCAAACAGGTGTCAATTTCTTCAGGGCAGTTTCGAGCCATTCCTCTACGAGTTGCGCCGAGGTACACTCGAAATCTCTGAGATCGGGTAGGCGTGGCTGCGTACTTGATTTTAAAATGGCGGCGGCCCAGGTTTTCGTGAGAGATTGTCATTTAGGAGCAGTCGTAATCATGTCTACATCTGACACAGAACAAGATAGCAGTTGTTGCCAATTGAAGTATCCCACGAGAAACCCGTCCTAAGCCATCCTCAAAAGCCACGCCTACTCCGTCTCAGGGATAAGGAGTATACTGGAGTGACGACAGCTAACCGCAACATCAACGGCACCAGGGCACATCATTAGTTGGGGATTTTTGTTGAGTCCGTACGACCCCCCCCTTCTTTTGTGGGTTTGGTACGAATCTCCCCCCCCGGGCCCTCTATTCCCTCCTCATTGAAATCGGGCCGTCGGAGCCGGAGGCGAGGCAGGTGGGGGGTGGGGGGAGGGGGAGGGTAAATAGCACATGTGAAAACAGGAAAAGCCGCGAGACAATACGACCCCCTCCCTTCTACCAATTCTCAGATTTTCCCAGCTTCCTGCCACTTTTTCCAAAATTCCCGAAAACTTCCCTACCTTTTCCCAAAAATTTCGCTGTCGAGGGCGGGGTTATTATTAGTGCGCGTGAGGACCAGGTAATCAGCGGAAGGTCAAACAGGACGACAACTTCAACTATTTCCTAGAAAAAGGCTTGAATACGATCCCCTCCTTCGCAAACAATGAGCAAGTACGACCCCCCCCCCCCCCTTTACAACACCCATGAAGCGAGAAAAATCGACTATCAAAATAAATTTTTCTCAGCCCAGATACGACCGCCCCCTCTCCTGGCGGCCTAATACGACATTCCCTGTTGGGGACTCCCCAACAACGGTGTGCCCTCAACGGCACTTTGGAGGAGGGCTTCACAATCATTGTCAACGTCCACTGCTTGTTCGCTTGCTTCGTTCAGCTAAAGGAGACAGGATCTTTGAAGGCTAGCCTCGGTCTCTCATCCCCCCCTCTCGCCGAAGAAGAGTCCGCCCATTTCGACGCTACCAGGGGGATCTGGAGCCTATCACCCGCACTTCTTGCGGCACTACTCGGATGTACCTAACAGGACAGTCGTCAGCCCCTGTAAGCCCTGGGCTATCGAAAAATACTGAATACGTTGTGGATTGCCTCATAAACTGCTTCACGAATGGCACGCGACACACCACTTATCAGTCCTTCCTTCTCCGTCTTCATCAAAAGGAGTTTCTGGGATACGGGTCACTAAGATGGGTCATAGGTTCTGCTGTGAGGCGATGCGCATACTATAAGTACGATCTTAGCGGTCAAAACCCCGGCACCACCAGTAGGCATGACTTTCCTGTACTGCTTCTGGACTAGGGAGCGCTGTACAAACGGGAAATTCTCGAGTAAGAACACACGATCCGATCAGCTACCGACTTATGCCAGGCTGAGCTTCAGAAAGACCGTGAAATACAATACAGAAGTGAGGTGAGACTGTTTCTTACTCCCCAATTCATGATGAGCGCGAGACCTCCAACGCTATGGAATGGGCTATCTATCAAAAAAAAAAAACGAGAGCAAAGCTGGACGACCATTCTTCCGCAAACCGCATTCTCGTGACATAGCCCCTACGATTACCTGTTCCGCGCCCTCGAGGCTTTCTTAACTGAGACTTTGAGCATTCGATGCTGATCACTTGAAGAGGTCGCGCGACTCGTTTCGACCCGCAGCCCCCCATTTCTGGGAGAAGAGGTATCGGCTTGACACTGGCTCATGCACATCAGATGAGTACTGTAGTGGTTACGATTCCCGTTCAATTGTGAAACAATTCAAACATGTCAACCCTCGCGTGTGTTTTTCCGTAGAAATCAGATTACTGTGCATTTCTTGGTCGTCTTCAGTGAAAGATAACGAAACAGGTGGGTGCGCTGAAGAAGAGGTTACAAAGGTGTTCGTGAATGCGCGCTCTCAGGTGTTAAGCAGTCTCGGATTATTCATGGTCTCACAGCACACTACCCTAAATCATATACAGTAAAAAAAAAAGATAAAAGGATAAAGTCTTCGCCGTTGATCAATCCCTTTGTGGGATGCGGCACGCATTCTACTTCCATTCAGAATCGTAGTGGCTTATTGAATGCGATGTGGCCTATACAATGACTTGCGGTGGCCAGCCGATGTACAAGTCAGTGTTTTATCCTCCCAGACGAATCTGGTACCAATTTACCGTCCCCGGAGGGTAGAAGCCTTGGACCAGGGGAGTCGACCCGGTATTCGAGCCCAGGACTGCGCGACTGGTGAGCGCGCTATTTGTCACCACACCACCCCCTGCCCAAAACATATACAGTAGCGGCTAAAAATCATTTGATAGTCGGCTTTTTGTGTAGAACACTTCTCTCTTTCTAAACTGTCCTGGAAATTTTTATACGTTATACATTTCAATGTTGCAAACAAACTCTTCACTTACTTTCCGCAAGAATCGTTAAGACAGCTAGCATAAAAGATGATTCCCGTGATTGAATGCAACAGGTAGCAGATGCTGAGTCATGAACCAGTAGCCCATCAAAACTCATCAAAAGAGAAAGAAGCGAAAAAAGTTTGGGAACACCCTGAGCACAACCCCCTCCCTAGGAATGGGGGACGACGCCTTGGACGAGTTCATCATGAGGACATGCCCAATCAGTAGGATGCTAGGTACAAGCAATTTCCGGCAAGAGCATAGGAAATCGCCCTACGACGCTTCAGGCAACACTGTGTACACGTGTCCTCTTGTAAGCCGTGGTTTTGCACAGTTACAGTACGCGGTTGCATCGTTGCAAAATTCCCGCGTCTCTAGCTCCGTTTTCTCGCGATTTCGCGTGACGAAAATACTTCTCTATACCTTCTAATGCACAATTTCTGAGAAAATGAGGAGGTTCTGCCGAGTCCTTTTTTGGGATGTCGTAGTGACTCATTCATAATCCTTGACGCAACAGTGCTCCGGGAGTAGTGCACTGAGCAGGCGCATCCAGTCATCATTCGGGCAGTCGATTAGGCATTGTTCACATTCTGTGGTCCAGCGTTTCTCTGGAACGCGGCGGTTCGGCGAAAAGCTTTCCGAT